AGTTGTTTAGATGAAATTAAAATAGAGTACAATAACTTGGTACATTAATTTGTAAACAATAACAGTAGATAGAGTACTTGATTCTTACATAACTTGGTACACCATTTCCATTTGCATTAGCATACTACCCAAATTACTTAAATTACGATATGAAATACAATAACACTGCAATTATTAAAATTGTAAGACTGATCTTAACGATGTTTATGTTTTGGTGCTCCAACACCTCCACCCTACAAACTACGCCCCCGATGTTGTTCGGTGGTCCGTCCTTGACAAGGTCGGAATCAACAGCCCATTCCCAGTAACCGCAGTGCCGACATTTATAATACGACCTTTTCGGATTCATTTCGGACATCGAAATGTGGAATTCGACGATGGTAGCATCTTCCCCGGAGCAGTTGCAGATTTTTGCAATGATCCATGAGATGTCAGCAGATGCACAGGGTCGACGAATTACACGACTCCCCGAAGAGGCTGCTGACATTGTTGACATAGTTTGTGGAGTACCACTTTGCAAGCTTCTCAAGTGAGATGGTGTTATGAAAAGGGAAGGATCGGAGCTAGAAATTAAGGGTCAAGTGTGACAAGTATTTACCATGGTAGAAGGAAGAAGTATATATATAGGGGTAAATGATCAATACCACAAAGAGCGGGAAAGTTGTTGTTCTTTCGCGCCTGATTTTTACCGGGACCCTAAATTTACCGAGCTCAATTTTGACTGTTACCATTCACTACAGCACATATAGTGGGACATTTATCCCTTTCATATGTACCATTAAGTTGACATTTCCATAATATGGTACATTAAGTCAGAACTTTTATACCATAAACACCATATCATCCAAAATGGTACAATATTGACTAGTAAATGTACCACTTAGGGTGAATATAACATGTTTAGGGTATTATTAAGAGACCTTATAGTCCCTAAACATGTTTTTAGGAATAGGGTAGAACATTGAAGCACTAAAAATTGGATTCCAATAAGCGATAAGCATAGAGTGAGTACTAACTGAATAACTAACTAAACAAGGGTTGATGTATGTTGTGTTACAAAGTAACTCAATACAAGGATAAGATAGTGAATCCGATTTGTATGTGTTTCGTTTTAAGGTAGACGTAACTCCATCCTCAACCAAACCACCAATGACTTGTAACGCCATAAAATCTACTAAATAAACCTCCAAACCATGCAATAATCAAACTTTTTTTTTGTGAATTTCACAATTTTTAGCACACTAAGTCACTACCCAAAGGGCCTGCAATTTCTACCATTTTTTTACGTACGTAGTGGTACAAAAATCATATGTTTTACACCATTAATATAGCAGTAGTACAATAAGTCATCAAGTGGTACCCTAGACGTGTTGCCCTCTTAATGGTACCCTAATAAAATATCGGTGTACCATATCGTCCAAAATGGTACAATATTAACCGGTAAGTGTACCACTACTGAAGTGGTTATGGTTAGGGTCATTGAGATTAAGGTGAATATAACATGTTTAGGGTATTTTTAAGAGACATTATAGTCCCTAAACATGTTTTTAGGAATAGGGTAGAACATTGAAGCACTAAAAATTGGATTCCGATAAGCGATAAGCATAAAGTGAGTACTAACTGAATAACTACCTAAACAAGGGTTGATGGAAGTGTATGTTGTGTTACAAAGTAACTCAATACAAGGATAAGATAGTGAATCCGATTCGTATGTGTTTCGGTTTAAGGTAGACGTAACTCCATCCTCAACCAAACCACCAATGACTCGTAACACCATAATATCTACTAAATAAACCTCCAAACCATGCAATAATCAAGCTATTTTTGTGAACGTCACAATTTTAAGCACACTAAGTCACTACCCAAAGGGCCTGCAATTTCTACCATTTTCGTTCTTAGTGGTACAAAAAATATATGTTTTACACCATTAATATAGAAGTGGTACAATATAGCATAATTTTGTACCACTGTAACCTGGATTTTTCGTAGCCAAATCACCATGAGTCATTGAATCGTATGCATTTATTTTTTACCCATCCCAGCTAGTAGGGAGTTCAGCTATCAGCACTAGGGGACAGAGATGTCTTGTCATAACAAACACAAGTACCCAGCTATTGGTATAATATATGAAAGCTTATGTACTACTTTACACAATATGGAGACCAACGAGATTTTAATGTACTACTGTAAAATTTTGTATCAAATCTTTTACCCCTTTTGACTTTGAGACTTTAATTACGACAGTAGGGGAGTTATTTTTTGCAGTTATTATCCAACTAACTACTTCAGAATTACACTCTTGCATAAAAAATAACTACTTATTGTGAGGTCAGTGAGTGGAATGCAGTGGTACACTATTGTATGAGAAAGTATAGTTATATGTACCAGTTTATTATTTATCTACACTAGTGGCACATTTAGTCTTCCACTGGGAATTATATAAATTGTTTTATTTCAAAAAGTAGTTGGAGGGTAATTTATTGAGGCTTTAGCACTATAAGAAACGCTGGCAGAGGACCTAGTTCATACATGCCTAGCTAATTCAGTGCAAACAATATTTTCAGAAAAAAAAAAAAAAAAAACACACACACACACACACACAAATGGGGAGAAATGGGAGCAAGAGAGTGTTTGCTGCAAAGGGATTGAGTGATGAAAAGAAAGTGGCTAATCATAAGACCCCAAGGGGACTTATGAAGCGTCTGGAGTACATGAAAAACAATGGCCATCACGATGCAAACGGCGTCATTCGAGACTTTTACCACCCTAAAAGAGGTAAAGAGATGATGTGGTCGCACCAATCGGCGACGATAGCTCGCGGTGGGCTTCAAAATCCCATTACAGGGATTGATTTCCACCCCGAGTACCCATTCCTCACGCCGTTTAAAATAGGAGGTCCCGGAGACTTTCGCAAAGAGGCGTGTGGTTTCATGCACTACCTTGTGGATGCTCACAAGATTGCGATTAGTGTTAACCTCAAAGATTTCTATGAAACAATGATAGATTGTGTGCGATCTTCGTGGTACTGCATGCATTGGCTTCAATTTTGGGAACTCTTTATGAGTTACTATGATTGGGCTGCAAACGTAGAGGACATGCTCAACAACCACTGTAAGGAAGGTGAGAAGTATTGTCTTCTACTACTTGGCCATGATTTCACGTCCGACTATGACAAAGGCGTGGTTCATGTCACTGTAGAGTGGATGAATTTCTCTCACGAGGATCCTTATGAAATGATCCATTCGAGCGAGGAGCAATGCATGTATTTTAGGAGCAAGATGTTGGCTGAAAATGGCTACGATGAGATGCAACACTTGGATCTCATCACTAGGGAGCCCTTTGACTATGATGACTACCCACAATGGTATGTCAATATGTTAAACGCGGCGAAGCAAAGGTACGATAACAAGGTCAATCCGGATTCCGAGAATTTTTGGGACGGACATGCGCCTGATTACAATGACCCATACGTGGATCCGTGGGAAGGATACCATGATTTTGGGTTTGACGACGATTGATTCCTTCTTGTTCTTGCATTTTCTTTCTGATGCTTTCCATGTAGTTTTATTAATGTTATGTACTCTTTTAATTCCAATGGCACAATAAAATCTCTATAAATGTACCATTTTAAATGTCCTGTTCTGCCATTAACTTGGAACTAAGTACGTTGTTCCATGCTGACTTTGAACTAACAGATGAGCTCCTATTAAATCCACGTTAGGTAACTAACTTCATCTAATCACCGTGAAAGTTAAAAGAAAACAGTAAAAATAGAAACAACAAAAATAATGTAACAAAAGAATTGTGTCTACAAATGTCAAATACGACGTCATTTTAGTGCAACATTATTGTCATTAGCAAGCACTCCTGCTTTATCTCAACAATTGGTACATTAATGTGTGTTCAATATGTACCACTAGGGTAATTAATACAGCTTACATGACTTTAATTCGGATTGGACCTTCCTGTACCAGGAGTAAAACCAAGTAGACTAGCTAACACCCCCCCCACCAGAGTTTCTACCCCTAACAGCAGTAAAGTAACCAATAGAACCATCCATATGACTCCTTTGTATACCTCCAACCGACCGCATGTATTCATTCGTTGACATCGATACACTGGTTTGGGTTTGGGTAGCTTGCTTTTTGGCAGCATTTTTGGCCCTAGCAGCTTTTTGGCAGCATTTTTGGCCCTAGCAGCTTTTTGTTTGCCTTTTTTTTCCGTGCATGGTGGGTACCGCGAATTTGTAGTACGGTGGGCTTTCTTCTTCGGTAATGGTGGATCTTTAATCCTCCCCGAGGCAGATGCTTCACAACTGCCTTGGAAACCACTTAATGGAGTTGAGGTGTTTGGCAGATCGGAACCAACTGTCACTGGCGTGGTTGTGGGATGAGGTAGCTTGTTCTACGCCACAGAAGAAGGAGTCTCAGCAATACCTTGACCACCTTCTGTAGGAACATCATTTGCATTGGCCTTAGTTGCCTCTTCCTGCTTTTTGGCAACCATTGCCAACACTTCATCCACTCTCAGGTCCATGAGTTGCAGCATTTCTGACACGGCCTGAACGGCCTCAATACATGTAGACGCCTTCGAGCAAATTGGTTCACAAGTCCCCATAAGTTTGTGATACTGCCTCACCTCTTCAGTTTTAAGTGGATCATGATAAGCTACTTTTACACGTGTGTGTTTCCATTGAACATCCTTTCTCCAACGACGAAGAATGTATTTCTCAGGAACAATTCCCACACCACTAAGGTCATAGGCCAAAATCATATGTCGACAAATGATTCCATGACACTCAAAGTGTTTACAGTCACAAGTTGCTTCATATGTGGTTCTATCAAACAAAAGCCTATAACATCTCCGAACCTTTGTCACAGACTCTTTCTTTGCATTTTTGGCTTGATCCAAATACGGTCCTCCATTACAAACTCAATCACATTATCTCCAATTTCAATTTGATTTAGACAACGCACATACAACACCTTGGTGCACTCCCGCTAAACTTCTTTGAATTTCGCGTCTGTATAGCACTTCTGGAACACCTCCTCCGTAGGGAAGACCGTCTTTAAATGCCTCACGTAGCGGGTCGTATTGGAGTCAGCAACTCTTTCGGCCTCAACCCTTATGGTCATAGCATCACAGTAGCGAAGCAAAAACTCAGACAAGGTTGTGTTCTTGTCAACATAACCTTTGAAAAAATGATTGAAGCTTTCCGAACGCTGTGTTGTTTTCATCCCCGCCCAGAACAAATGTTTCAAATATGCTGGGATCCACATCTCCCTTTCCTCAAATAGACCTGCATGCATCATTTCCAAAGAGGAAATCAGTAATGCTAATAATGGGAAATAACATCTGCCACCTTAGTGGTACAAAATAAATGCCACCTGATTTATTAAAATGCAACCAGCACATACAGTGGTACATAATAAAACAAATGAATGCAACACCACAACACTAAAATTGCTTCAACCATGCTGCACGCACAATCACCCAAAATGCAAGTGCAGTAACCAAGCAAGCTTAAGGGTAGATCAGCTTTAGCAACCAACAACCATATACCAAAGCAGTAAAAACAAACAAATCACATAAAGCTGATTAACCTTACCTTCAAGCCAACTGTTTTCTTGTAGTTCACAGTACTCCACTGCATCTATCCAACGAGCTACAAATTCTTCTCCATCTAAACTACCGTATATGATATTCTAAAACTCATCCTTCACAGCATCATATTGCTCATGCTTACCCACGTACTTCCAAAACTTTTGAAGGATATGCCAAATGCATCACCTATGACAAGTGTCACTCATGGTTATATGCACAGCTTTCCTAATAGCCGGATCTTGATCCATCAGGATCGAGGTAGGAGCTTTCCCTCCCATGCAATGTAGCCATGTCCTCAGCACCCACTCGTAGGTCTCTTCCGTCTCCCGAGAGATCAATGCACAGCCAAACAATATACTCTGCCCATGGTGATTCACACCGACAAACAAAGCATAAGGAAGGTGAAATTTGTTTGTTAAGTATGTACTGTCAAAACAGACAACATCTCCAAACTCTTCATACCCAACTCTACACCTCGCATCTACCCAAACAACATCTTGTAATGCACCATCTTTACCAAACCTACAAAGATGGAAAAAAATTTGATTGTCTGCACTCATTTTGTTGAAGTAATCTATCATTCCATTCACATCACCCTCGGTTAGCTCAAGTCTTTGTTTCTCAGCAACTACATTCTCCAAGTCTTTCTGGGTAAGTGACATCTCATCCACCCCTTTCTTCTCCCTCGCCAAACAACTATACATCTGCGATACCTTTACCCTAGACTTCTTTGCATTACACACTCGGTTCACCAAGTACCCATTTTTAGACACCAACTCATGCTTCCTGAACATTGTTACATTCACAACTGTTTCCTCATCATGCAAAAACCCTTCCTTAAGTACATCCACTTTACGCTTCCTGGAGGGTCTTCCGTAGCAGTCACGCGTCCACTTAGCATTCCTCTTCTGCTTACAAAACGTTCCATCCCCCAAATCACTCTTCACCTTGCCAAACCCAACAGCAGCCCTCACTATATTAAACCCCTTTTGCCTAGCATAATTCCAAAAATAACTATCAACCTCATCCCAACTACCAAATACCATACCCACACTCGGGGTTGGTACTTCCTCTTCCACACCAAATATTGTGCTAACCAGTATGGGGTTCTTCTTCGGGGTTATGAAAGTAAAACTTCCTTCCCCTACACCTCCATCTTCACCTCCTTCCTCCTCTTCTACTTCCTCATAATCTGACCACCCTTCCTCTCCCTCACTATCAGACCCCCATTCATCTCCATCATCTTCTGATCCCTCTTCAATTTCCTCCTCATCCTCTTCTCTATAACCATGCTCACTCTGAAATCCCTCCTCATTACCACATACAGCATCATCATCATCGTCACCACCAACACCACCCTAAAACAATGACACACATAAAACAATCATATACACAACACCACCACAAGTAACTAAGAACAACCTCTAAATTATACACATCAATTTCAATTTCAAGCATACACAAAGCTTCATAACAGAACAACCATTTTCCAATTTTTAGTTTCAAAATTTAACTACAAATGTTAATATTAATTTCAAGCAACTCCAAATTTCAACATACACAACACACAAATCAACCATCCCAACACACATATTAACCACGCCCAAATCAATTAATCGAGTTACAATCAACAATGTAACAATATGAGCATCAATTGCTCCAAAAGTGACTTGCAATACCAACATCAATTGCTCCAAAAATGACTTACATTTAAACAATATGCCACCTAATTTAAGCACTGTCAAATTCAATATCAACAACTATGTAATTCGAATTACCCCAAAAAAACCCTAACTTTTCAGCTAATTCAATTGAACTGTGTTAATTGTACTAATTCATGCATTAAATTGCTAAGTTAAAAAAAAAAAAAAAAAAAACCTCATGCAACGCATCGATATACATAGGGTTTCGAACACTTACATTCTCACTATCAAAACGCAACTCCCTCCTTGCGCAACCATGGCCTTCTTCTTCCCGCAATGCTTCCGCTAAGTCAACTCCCAATATATCAACTAAATGATTTCGCATTGTCAAAATGTAGTCCGGATTCAAAAAATAACTTCAATTTTGGTTTAGCTAGCTATAAGAATCGTTTGAGATTAGGTGTTCATGACGGAACACACCATTGAAGCTTTGTGAAGCTGCTGAGTCTTTCTCTTCTTCAAAAAGTAACTCTTTTGGGGAGTGGGGTAAATTTGGTTTCCCGCTTCAAAATTCACCCCCCGTTATTTTTTCTCATACTCCCGTTGGCTTTGAATCCCAATTGGCACTTTCAGGCCCCACTCATCAGTGATAAAGTTCTACTTATTATCAGCTTTGCCATCCTATATACTTGCAAACCAATAGTCCCTATGCGCCTATAGTTTTCCTCAAAATCGTATATTAAATTTGTAAAGATTATGAAAAGTTAAAAAAAATAAAATAAAAATAAAAAATAAAATTGACAAAGAAATACTCGTACTCGTACCAAGTACTTGATATGTATTCTTGTCCAATAGAAAGATAACAGAGGAATATAATACGATATGATATGGTGATATTGTATTGTTGTCATAACTTTTGGTAGGCCAAAAAGGGCGTGTGGCGTGTCCACTTCTTCGCCATACTTTCACAATTTCTCGTTCTTTCTTCTCTATCTTATAATATCAGTATACACTAACAGACTAACTAGCAATATCATTAGTGTAAAATCAACTTCAATAACAACTAACAATAACCAAAAATGGCAGCAATGCTGAATACCGTTGCAACATTACCATTAAAAAGTATTGCCAGCACTTGTAAATCTCCTCACCCTTTATTCTTTCCTACTACTAGTGGTACTACCTTCACCGATAACCATTGCTCGTCGGATTCGATTTCGTCGAGATTGTCTACTTATACTAGAAGAAGAGATTGCATTGTTTGCTCTGGTGTTAAGAAAAGCAACAATGAAGAAATTACGAGTACTGATGATGTTGAAGTTTATGAATCCGAAGAATTGGATTTGAAGAATGAAACTATGCTTTATTCAATCAATCCTATGTCGTTGATGCTATTGGCTGCCCTTCCCGGAGGTATTATGTTGATGATGGTGAAGTTTATTTTTTGTTTTTCAAGTCTTCAATTTCAATAGAATTGCTTATGATAAAAGGGTCATTTTACTTGGTATTCTGTAGGAGTGAAAGTTCAGTGTGGTTTGTAGCCCAAATCAAAACCAAAACAAATTAATTCGGTTTTGGAATTTTTCAAACCACACCGCACCGTATTACTATTGAAACCGAACAAAACCACACCGTTTTTGGCTTAACGTAGGACAGAAATTAATATCGGACTAAGCTATAATTTGAATATGTGCCATAATTTGGTTTGGATTTCGGGTTTTGGTTTTTCAAATCTTATTAAAACCGAAACCAAGCCATATTAATTCAGTTTTGAGATTCCATGAACTGCACCGAATCATACTAGAAAAAAAAATAATAAATAAATAAAAACCACAGCACATATCTAATTCAGTTTGGTTTACGTTTTGATTAGGTTTTAGATTAGACCGCATTAGTTCACCCCTAGTAGGCTTATGTCTCGTCTTATGTCCCACCTCATATCTATCATATCTATATTGATATGTCACCAACTTAAATAAATTATTTAATATTAACTATTTTTAAGAATTTAATGATCAACCATCTTAATTGATTAAAGTATTAAGGGGTGTTTTCAACAATTAAATCAAATCCCGTCTCAAGGCTTAACCATTGTTTACCATGTCAATCTAGATTTATTGTCTATAAATTCCAATTAGCATCGCTTGATATTAAGACTTGGAATTAAATCACATCTACAACAAATTTCTTACCCTTTGTACCTCCCTGTGTATGAACCGAAAAAAGAGAGTATGTAAACTCAACACATTGGTTGGAGGTCGTTTGCATTAATCTAGTGTCTGATGGTTTTGCAACTTATTGCGTGAATCACAGCTGAAACAGTGAGGTCAGCATTTGCACCTTTTGTGGAGATAGTAAAGTCATTGAACCTTCCAGATTGGCTTGTTCATTGGGGTCATCCTGGTAACATGGTAACTAATACTCCCTTTGTTTGATTTTAAGTGCCCCACTTTTCAAAAGCGGCCGTTTTTATTTAAGTGTCTCATTTTCAAATTTAGAAACTCTGCTCAAATTATATACGAAGTATTATTTATCTCTTTCTTTTGCATTATAATACCTTTATTTGTAACTTCATTGCACATCAATTAATTGTGTGGACTGATGTAATTGCAGGCAGTGGTGCTTTTCGCAATGGGTGGGTATGGTACTTACCTTGGTTTCCGCATACGCTTCTCAGATGATGTGGTATGTCAATCACTATTCATTATGCAAAAAAAAAAAAAAAAAAAAAAAAAAAAAAAAAAACAATAAAAGAGATGTCATCAGATTCATATTAATTTTTATAATCCGAATGTTGTCTGATATATCATGCTATACTATGTATCAATAATTCAATATGTGATGAGATCTAATGTTATAAGCACTACTGCAGGAGGAGAAGGCTAAAGCTAAAGACTTACACCCAAAGCTATTGGCAGGAATGTTTTTCTTCTTTGCTCTTGGGGCTACTGGAGGCGTAACGTCTTTGCTAACCTCAGATAGACCCATCTTTGAGAGGTACATCCATCTTCTTCCATCTTCATTGTCGTCGATCTTACCATTTGTATTTGCTGCAACGTAATCAAAGGTTTGCCAATTTGCCGTTTGTTTTCTCTTGTTGATTAATGATTACTTAATATTGTTCTATGTTTGGTTGCAGTCCTCATGCTGTCACTGGTGTTATAGGCCTAGCACTTTTGACCTTACAAACTATCTTACCAACACTATTTGAGGTTAGTATGTAGTTTTATTCTGCCACTCAGATAAAAAAAATATACATTGGTACTAGTTGCTCATCTTATGTAATATGCACTCGGGTGTACATTTTTCAATGGTATACACCTACTGTTGAACCACGTGCTATGCTCCCCTGAAGATGTGAGCTTTATCATGTGAGATAGTACAATGCATCTTATTTACAAATGTATATAAGAAACTTCAGTATCTGATGCCAATCTTGTTGCAATTTCAAAGTTTTGTAAAATGATTTGTGTTTGTCTTAACACCTTCATTTGAATGTTTTGTTAGGGAAATCCTGGGCTGAGGAATGTTCATGGCATCTTAGGAAGTGGGATCATGACTTTCTTTGTTGTCCATGCTGCCTTAGGACTCCAACTCGGCTTGAGCTACTAAACAAATATTCTCTATCTAGAGCTTATAGTCACATTATTAGTGTAATTCAAGGTTCAAACTTCAAACTCATGTCACAAAATTTTGAAATTCTAACATCAGAGAAAGTACAGTATATGAAGCATTCACCATGTATTTGTCTTATTTACTTGGGGCAATTTATGTTAAGAAATACTCCCTCCGTCCCTTTATTTTTACCTCTATTCGTTTTTAATTAATACATTTTTACTTTTAACACTAATCACAAACTCTACTTTAACTAACTTATCTATGTAATAAAAAGAAATGTTAGATTTATGAGAGCCCTTCTTCCCAACCCCAATAATCAACTCACAGTTATTCTCAACTAAATAGGAAATTAGAATCTAATATAAGCCTACATTTACTCAAAATTGTTAAAATTTTAGTTCCTTTGCCTTTTCATTTATCTGTTTGAGTTTTTTAAAACAATTCTTTGATTTATAGTAATTAGTGTTATGTAATTTAAACAATATTGCAAAAAAAAAAAAAGAAAAAAAAAAACACACACGTCATGTGAGATGTCATTATAATCATCTCACAAAATAATACTACGTACTTTGTATTATAATATCCTTTTTAATGATTTGTACTATTGAGAATTAAAGATATTACATACAAGTATTTGATAAGTAAAATCACTACGCCAAACAAATACTGCAACGATTTCATATAAAAGCCTCCTCTCAGTTGAAAATATGCAAGTAGTTCAGTTTCTGCAATATAGTTGGCATTCTAATCACTGTATAATTAATTTACTTCTCATAATAGCACAATAATCAATCAGATGCTGCTTTCTGGGGTTTTCTGGCTGCCCAAAAAATTTATAATATTGAAAAACTATAAATAAAGGTACATTGTTTTCTATACTTGTAAAGTTGTAATAATGTAATTATAGCCTTTTCACCTTCTTAGCCCTATTCTTGTCATGAAAGAGGAATCAGCTTTTTCTCAACATTGATTCCGCTACCACGATCACTGTAGTTAGAAGAAGAGAAGCAGCTGATCCGACTGCCAAAATTTGATATTCGGACAGCAAACTAACAATGAAAGAATTCTGACCCCTGAGGAATTTGATGATTCGTGTCCTAACTCTAAATAGTTTCAGAAATTGTCCCTGCAGGAAACTTCTGCACAAGTGCCTCAGTTGCTAACTGCACTTTCCCTTGGTCCTAAACATAAATTAAAAGCATGTCAATAGCAGTCACAACCACTTCGCTTTTATGCTTCATCAGAAGTCTAAAAATCACAAAAGTTCTTATACAAATTACCTTTCCTTCCAGCGTAATCACAAGAGGTCCATGTCTGGACTTCCGATAACACCCTTTTTACATATTATACAAAAAAATATGTTCAGATAGTGATAGAAAACAATGATTTCCCAATATAGTGTAACAGAATTTTTACCAATAAACAAATCAGGAAACTCAATACGCATTGCTGATAATGGCTGAGCAACTTCTACCTGCATATAATGTTTGGCAAATAGTCAGAATCCAATACTTTCTGAAGATAATAAGATCTAGTCAAGCTCTGAAGAGCTCTTTACTTAAGTTAAGCTTCTGTCTTAAAAAGTTAACACTGGTGCTGATCATGCTAGTAAAAATTGTTTTGTGAAGTATTTTACTTTGAGAGCTTGGGATGCCAAGCTAATTTAAGAATATAATTATCTGTATTAGCATAAGGCCTCACATAGTCATATATGCACCTTTGCAAGTGTAAAACATAAAGAAATGATTACATTCGCAAACCTACGCAACAATCATTATATGCACCCAGGAGCATGATTCACATCATGCTCCCCCCAACCTACACTTGGGAGTAATAAAAGCATATAAAATTAGAAGAGAACGCATCTCAGCTTCATTCATATAAATCCATACAGTTTATATAATAAAGAGCATACAGTTCATACCAAAAGAACATACAGTAGTAATAAAAGGATATGCAAGTGTAATAAAAAGAACATAAATCTGGAGCATCTGTTACTCATTTCTCAAACAGTAGAAAAATCAGTCTATGTTTTTTGGGATTGCGCCAACATCCTTTTTTTTTTTAAAGAATAATTTTTTTTTAAATGAGCACCTAGCAAAAATTATAACAGAGGGGATTGCTCCTTGTAACAGCAAAAAAGATTAAATATAAGCCCAATTCCACCGAATTTCACCCACTAATTTTGAAAAACCCCGTTACATGAGCCCACAAAGAAGCTTAAGTTATCCCACTCTCTTATAGCGGTTCCAGTGCAGGGCCAATATCACGTGCATTTGCTTCTTATTAGTCAAACAGTGGAACATCAGTCTACACTTCCAATAATACATAAACAATCTCCATAAATTGCAGGACCAACAACATGCACATCAAACCCCCCTTCCCCAACACACACACACAGAGAGAGAAGCCCCATGCAGAGAGGCCCATAGGGGAGGGGGTAATATTAAGGTAAGCTATGATAATTTCTAGAATGGCAGATGCTGCCAAGCAAGAAGAAAATATGAAGTAGTGAAAGTGTGCGGACAGAAGACGTTAACTACAGAGAGCAAAGAGATTTCTAGCACAGGAAATTACTCCCAAAAAGTAAGAGGAAGTGAGAAATTCTTTACACATACATCTGAAAGAGTAGTTGACAGATACTTTGAAGAAAAGGGCTTTGTCAACATAAGGAGCCCACTAGAGGCTGAAAGCTCAATCAAGCAATCCCATTCTTTGTCCAGCTCTGCTAGATTTGTTGCCATGAGAATTATAACATTCTGACACTTCATCTGCAAATAAAATCCACCAGAAGTTTATTTCACAGTTCACACAGTCACACCCCCTTAACCAACCTTTAGCTTGGCAAACAAGAAATACTTAGACAACATAGTTCAACAGGAAACACCAAAAAGGGTATTCACTGGACATAGTGACATATTGCCGACAGACATTACTAGACAGAATTCAGCTAAAAAAGTTGAATTCCATGGATCATTAACTTATCTCTGGTGATTTGAAACTTGCATGTCAATTGGAAAACAAAAGGTATCTTATTAGCAGTGGTTATTACTAATCTTTGGTTGAGTAATAAAAGAATCATATATGGGCAAGAATCTGACTAGCTTATATGCATTGGTTCATGTACTTTCTATTTATATACTGGATAGTATCAAATTTCAGTTCATTGTCAAATATTCCTTCTGTCCCCATGAATGTTTGTTTACTTGCAGAACCCAGGTTCGAACTGACAGGGCTCAAAGTGTAGCTTCCACCTTCACAAGGCAGTGCAACTAGATTCTCCGAGTTTTATGCACACTTCAGGTAATATTTAAAAAGCAAATGGAAGCCTTTTTTGAGGGGGCGAAGAGCAATTAGGTAACTAATATTTGTTGTAATTTTGTTGCAGCTGATTTGGGTCAGATGGAAAGCTTATTATGAAAATGCAATTAACATTCACCATCATTTTAGGGCATGTTCTGATTTACTGAACTGAGCTGAGTTGAGTTGAATTGAACTGTTTATGAGAGAAGGAAATTAGGAACTGAACTCATTTGAATTAAACTGAACTGAAATTAAGCTGAAGAGAACATCATTAGTCAGGTTTGGTTCATATCAATTCAATCTTAAATTGTGAAAAAATCAAGTTACCTATTTCAGACACTTCAGGTTAAATTCAAGTAAGATCTTATTGTCTGGTACATGTCATCCTTACCATCCCTAGACAATTACTAAGTTCAACTACAAACAAAAATGTAAACAGCTAGAAAATCAGTACAGAACTTCACAATATCCAAGTTTGTTTTTGTGGACATGCCAAGAAATTCTTTTCCCTAAACAGTCAAATTTGACAAGAAATGAAAATGGAAGAAAGTCTTTTTTTTTTTTTAATATAATATCATTCATTGTTGCAGAATGCAAGATTGGGGATCTTTGTGGGACTGTGTGAGAAAATAAACACAGTGTTTATACCAATGGCACAGGAAGCTTCTCATGATGCAACAATTCGGTGATGCCCTCAGGTAGTTGTGCCATCTGAAGAAATAAAATTATGCATGTGAGATGATGCGAAAGCATACAGAACCAGAACATATTAATATGTACTTCCTCCGTTCTGTTAATATTGCAACAAGGAGGAAATTACGCATCCCAAAACGCATTTTATATGCTAAATATCTATAATTGTGTAAGAGTATAAATTATAAAAAGTTGATATTGTGAAAGTATTATATGAGACGAATCCAACAAGATCCCACTTGACTATGTTTTGCTTAACGTATAACTCATATTATATGGTCAAACAAGAGTAATGAATAGTGCAAAAAGTCCATTGTTGTAACATTAATATAACGGAGGAAGTATCTAATAAGGTAGCACTTACAGAACCGCTGAACACTCTTACATCCTAACTCTGCTTTTCAAAAAATGGAAATAGAAACTAGATATACTCCCTCACACATCTCAGGAAATGAAAGCAAAAAGCTCTACATAGACAGCAGTAAAAGACAATTGTAAACAAAGACCTACAGATAATATCTTGTTGAGTAACCTATTTTCAGGCCAACAACAAGAAAGATACCTGACTTAAACTCTTCAACCACCCTCAGACCAGTTATTCTTATTTCTAGAATAGATCTACGCAATATACCTTATTCATTGGATCAACTAACTTCATTCCCAACTTATTTTTAAGATTTCTGCTAAATCATTCAGGCTCTCTCCCTTCAAAATAGCACCACCATTCTCAAGTGCTCTAAGATAAAACCAGAACAAGCTAAGTTGAAAATTAGGGTTTGCAAAAGTCAAAATTAGTCAAACATCGAAGTGCAAATAGCCACTAATAAAAACAGAGCTTTGCAAGAATTTTTACATTTCAAAACTGTTGTTCTCTCTGTAAACCTATATTAAATTGTTTTAACCAGTCGCTTCTTTAAAATTATACATAGTATATGTAAATTAAAGAAGCTACAAAGAATAATGGAGAAACTTGGATATTAGGTACCAACAATAGAGCATCTCATCTAAGCTATCTGATGACTAACATCTACTACCTCCGTTTTTTTTTATTTATTTATTTTATTTTTTTTTTTTCAGTTGACACGTTTTGACTTTAGCATTATTCACTCACTCCCCTTTGACCGTGCTTTGTGCTTTATACGTAATGAAAAATCTAGCCATGTGGGGTCTTATTTGATTCATCACGATATATAATTTC